TATTTAGTATAAGTAGATGGTTAGAGCATGGACCGCGCGGTCAGCTGGTAAACGTGGTTTATTGAGAAGTTCCAGATGTTTTGGATATAAACATTAAGTTTATGAGTGTACTACATACCCGTGAGTGCAGAAAAGGCGGCATTGGTAAGCATAAACCCGGCGTCGCCAGACGATACATCATTTTTCATGGCAACAATTAATAAGGCCACCCCAACATTGTACACACTGCCCAATATATCCGCAAGCGTTGACGTGGTTGTCATGGAAACCCCCGCGGTGATGGATGCGTTGGTGTTTGCATCGACGTATATACCAAACTGGGTCATGAAGTTCTCCTGTAGAAGGGAAACACAAACCATTCACATTTCACATTTGAATTGATAACATTTACAACGACTACATTTAAACTTATTGCATTTGCATATATTAAACTAGATAGCATTCTTCCTGTAGAAACCTACGTACTGCATGTACCCGTTTAACGTCTACTTGGAGAAAAATATACATTAACTACATTTGCATATATTGTATTTTTAATACAAATACAGAGTACACACAGATTGCATACTTTCTGTAAAACCTACGTACTGCGTCCCGTTTAGCGATCCCTCGTAGAAAGGGGACAGTGTGTGTATTTGACACACCTGATATACAGTTATTATGAGTGTATACTACATACTCAATAGACCCAATACACCAGCAAAAGACCTATGTACCTCAGGTACAATAGCCCTATATGCTACATATACAATAGATCTCATTATATATATATATATATATATATATATATTGTATACCTGTCTTCCATACGCCCGGATGGTTGCCACACCCTCGCCCGTCTGACTAACACATTGGACCAGTGGTAGTTTTGTGGAGGCAATTAGCAGCTCAGACTGTCGCGTGGTGCGTTTGTGGTAACGCAGTAGGAATACAATCCCAGCTGTGATTTACGGGAATTAATAAGAGATCTATGTGATTAGGGGAATGCATACACACACACACACACACACATATATATATATATATA